CCCATTCCCGAACTTACTATAATAATGAATGCGAAGTACAACGTGCGGAACTGTCCCCCCCCCCCACCCCTCACCCATTCCCCTACTTACTATAATAATGAATGCACAGTACAACGTACTGATGTGAGTGAGTGCCCTGACCTGCTCAGTGCGGGATGCTGGAGGGTTGCAAAAAGTACAACGCACGGAACTACCCCCCCCCACCCTTCCCCAACCTATCTACAATGAATTTCAACATATTTCAACTAAAGCGGTAGTGCCTAGGCGGGGGGGGGGGCCTCCTACTACTACTACTACTGCTACTACTACTACTACTACTACTAGTACTAGGTCACGGCGCCTCATCTTGCCTCAGGATTGCGTGCGCTCGCTTGGCACGCACAATTTTAGGGGCCAAGAGACCTTTTCCGAAACTGGCAAGATGCATGCCAGCACTCAGCTACAGTAGAAGTTCTTTGTGCTCAGATCATGTCTCCAGTGCCAAGGCTCAGATGCTGCACAGTTTCTTCAGGGGCGTGCAGGTTGAAAGCAGCGTGAGCGGGCAGGAATTGCTTCATCTCCTGCCAAACCCAGTCAATCATTCGAGTGCCATCAACCAAACTGAAGCATACTGAAGTTTGCGGTATCGTTTGAGCATGTGTGCTCTGGGAAATGGATGCTCTCGTGGATGGACGTTTTACTGCTTGGGCATGTGTGCTCGTTCACCGGCAACTGAGGAGTATCAACAATTTGGCGAGCTTGCTTTCCATCACTGGACGAATGGAAGAAGCTGAAATACTCTACGCAGAGGTTGCTGGACGGCAGGAACAGACTTCTTTCACATGTCGTGCTTGCCGCTCTGTATGGATCATGCCACTGCGCATCGTATAATAAGGCATGTATGCAGGAATGTTGGGCAATTTTATTTGCGTTGACTATGAAAATGGATTTCTGCGATCGGCCAAATGCCATGTTGAGGCCTTGGCAGGCTGCCGTGCGACGCTTGGGATGAAGGACAAACCGAGCTTGTAATCTCTTGTAGTGATCCACTTTTTTGTATGTCGTCGACAGCATCATCCACTGGCTGCATCCGTCATGGAACAATCTGAGCAAAACGTTATTTCTCTTGTTCTGGCTACGTGATAGGACATGGACACATTACTGAGCGCGGACAACTTGGCCTCCTTGCTCTTCCAAGAAGGACAATGGCTACCCCTGCAAATAGTGGCTGGAAATTGGTTTCAAACGACTTTAGCGCGCCAGGACGTGCTGCAGAGGCAGAGCCGCTTTTTCGGGAGGTGGCTGTGCAGCTCCTATGTACGATCCAGCATAGTGGCACAGCAAAGATGAGCCCAGGCAGCCCTTGGCCTTGCGACCCTCCTTGGCGAACGAGACCCGGAGACCTTGCGAAGCCAGGCACACATCTGGTTCAGCTCACACGTGGAACAATGCCAAGTTGAGTGAAGTTGTACGAGCTTATCACAGTACCTGCCCGCCACTTATTTGAGTTTCCTTTGCAAGCAATGGCATGCAGTGTTGCCTGTTTCATACCTTTCAATTTCTCTACTAACAACTTTTCGCTGGTTCCACAGGGCAAGCATCGTGAGCAACAGTCATATAAGTCAAGTGATCTGCTTACTACCCAGCTTCGGTTCAAAGCCACAACAGCGCTGGAACTCAGCAAGGTGCTCAGTCAAGTTTTTGGTCTTTCCACCTTGCATGTGGGGTCGCTTCTGCCAGTACTGCTAGCCGTCGTTCGAGCTGTATCATATCGGCTTGGCTGCGGGATTCCTAGACCGAAATTACCGAACGCAAATGGAGGGCAACCGCCATGCTGTGCACATGAAAGTGCGGATTTGAGAATTTGAAAAAGAATATGTATGAGAGAGAACGGTTCGCATGCACATGCATGCATCACCAAACGTGAAGCTGAATTGGAAGTGGGTTCCCCTCTGACAGGACAATTTGGCCGTAGCTTTGATGGCTTTGGGGCGCCTGGAGGAGGCAGAGGCGCACCAGAGACGAGTAAGCAATCTCGTTCGCAATGATGATGGCCGCGTGGAAAGGTGCTGCTTCAATCCACTGTTGCAGGCCAGTTCCAGCAGACATCCACCAAACGGGAAGGATAAGTATGGCATGCATTGCTTGCCTTTAATGTATCTTCGCCTGAGTTGGCTGCCCACTGGGTGCCGTGCTTGTGCAGGTTTTCGAGACACACTAGGTGCAGACCATCCAGACACCCTCGTGGCCCAGGAGAACTTGCAGGCGGTGTTAGAGGATACGGGCCTGTTTAGCTGTCATATGCAGCTGTCATGAGGTATTCAGCTTTTGCGTAGCTTGAGCAGTTCTCGATGTTTGAGGAAAAGGCAGCTCGTGAGTTAGAAGCGATGAGCCTCTTGGCTTCGTTCAGAAGAGCATTGTGAAGCACGGAATGCAAAGCGTAAGCAAGATGTTACCCCAGCCCGTCCAGGCGTGTCGATTTTTCAGTACGAATAGCACTGAGGCACTGTCTAAGCTGGACCCAGTCGACGCAGGAGCAAGATCTAGAGATCAGTTGCCGGTGGGTCGACAGAGACGTTCGGAGATGACCTCGATGTCACGGAACGCCGCTCAAGCAAGTGTAAACGGGATGTACAGTCTGTGGAGCGCGCATCTTCGCATGGAAGCTGAGCCATAGACTCAAGCTGCCGGCCACAAGATGAATTCGAAAGACCGGCAGACCGGCAGATGTGAAGCTGTTGTCTCTGAGACAAGTAAAGTTTCTTCGGTTTTAATGCCGCCCTAGCCAAATGTGGAGATAGGCAGCTCATGAATGCCATAGCAACCACTCGATGCAATCTACAAAGCTGAATTTCGGATCTTCTGGAGAAAGGCGCTACCTACTCTTCGTGCCTGGCTGGCCAGCATAGATATCCTTGTCTAGGAGCATGAGGGATCGACTGATTTTAGACCAATGTTTTTTGTGCAGTTCTTGTGCAGCCGAGACCCGGTAAGCGCGTGATGCGGACGCGGAAGAGCTGCGAGGATCCGAGCAGTGCAAGCACTTGTGCAAGCACTAGGGCGAGGTGAGAAGTTTTTTTGGGAAACTTTGCCAGGATGATCACATTGCAGCCTCCAGCATCTCCGAGCTCACCGCAACGGCCAGCAGCCTGAGACGAAGAAACCTTTCAAAGCACAGCAAAGCACTTTGCTTTCCACTTTGAAAGCATGCTGGGCTCGTTCGCAGGGGTACGGTGCCAGCCTGGTGCAAGAGGGGTCATGGCAGAAGAGAAGTACCGGTAGTGGAACAAGTGCCGTATAAAACAGCAGGGCTTTTTATTGCCCACCGCCTGCAGTAAGTCTACAGCCTTTCACGAGCTTGAAGAAGCTGTTCCTGCATTTTGGCTCAGGAGTTGGCCAGCATCCGCTCAAAGGGTGCCAAGGCAACCAAGAAGAATTCGTTGCCTTAAACCTTTTCAGAAACAAGGAAGTGGCTAAGCGCCATTCCAGCGAATGCAACTTTCTTCTGTGGAAGGTCAGTGCTGCCAGTGCTGCGGTGCGTGCAAGCAGCATTGAGGAGTTGCCTTGGCAGAGTCTCCCCACATCTTGGCGCAGAGCTGCTTTGGAAAACTGCGTATCGGAATTTGGTAAAGCTGCAAAGGAGCCAGCCAAAGTGGCGAACGAGGAGTCTGAGAAGGAGGAGGCTGCAGACAACGAGGAGGTGCAGCCTTGAACTGTGTCTGGAAGGACAACCTTCCTGAGGGCTACCTGAGGATGCTACTGTAGTCATTGCGATGAAAGCCGCATCTGCATGTGCAGGTTGCGGGTGATGAGAGTGATGAGGATGAGAAGGAACGAGCTGCACATGACTCCCAAGTCAGAACTTGTGATAGCTTGCGAGGAGTATGTAGATCGGCTTGCTGTTGCATGCTTTTTCAGTTGCAGCAGCCATGCCACACTAAACATCGAATCACCTGCTACTCATCTAGCGGGAATCTAGCGCTTATAGGCCATGCTGGACGCCTTTTTCTAGCGGGGCATTCTTCAATATGAGCAGGATGCTGAGGATGAGGCCGCCGACAGACCGGCAGGTGAAGAAACCCAGGACGGTATCCACTGTGAAGACCTCTAAAAGCAGCTACTCTCACATGTGCTTCCTGAGAGCAGACTGCCTGCACTTATAGGATGTCGTTATGGAATGTGACAAGGAGGCACATCTTCTGCTGGTTGATGTAAGAGCAGCTCTTGACTAATAACGGCCAGTAACAAAGAGATGCTGTGGTTTTCGTGGCATTTTGTGGAATACGCATGTCGCGCGACCATGGCTCAGTCTCAAAGTGGACTCATAATTATATCATGAATTTATCATGATATCTGTCTGCATCATGGGGAGATGCCTCGGCAGAGCGTAGCGCAAAGCTTTCATCAACTGATACATGTATAGCGAGCATTCAAATTGCTTTGCAACATGTCTGAAGGCTACCGGTGGTCAACTTGTTTGCCTGACCACGTTTGCTGGCAGCCACTTCTAGAGCCTGAATGCACAAATGCACACAACGCTTGAGACAGATGGGTTTAGGGAAACAGATGGAGGCGGGATAGTGTCGTTAGGGAGGGCCGCAGGACGTTCTTGACTCAGACTTCCGCTGAGCTGGAGCTTTGCAGCTTTGCGTAAAGCCTCAGCTCTGCATGAGCCTGAGGTGCTCTCCCCCTTCATGGAGAAGTACTCCTTCGTGCAGCGGCTGGGGCAAGGCACTGGATTTCCTTCCATCCTCCTAAACCAGAGCTCTGCGCTGCAGGTGCCTTTGCAGTGGTATGGAAAGCAAGGCGGAAGTCAGCAGCAGCCACAGCTTTCCAGAAAGCCCAGGCATAGGCTTCGATTTCTCCAAGGACGGCCGGCTGGTAGCTGTGAAGCAACTGAAACAGTCGCCAGAGTTGGCCACCCAGGGGCCGCATCATGCCACAAAGACAGAAGACAACCTTCAGCTGCGAGGTCTTGGGAAGCCTGCAAACAGCTTCCAGAGGCACCCTCTGCCACTCTGCATCGTCTGCACTGTGCGACTGCTACCCGTGCTTCGTGGCGTCGTGAAGAGGTGCGGGCCGCAGCCTCCATCTCGGACAGAAGGCCACCGGACAGTTGCTGGACCCTGTGTTGGAGATGCACTCGTATTTTGAACCCCGGCTACAACTTTGCCAAAGCTCTGATCAGGCATTTGGTGCAGCTACTGGAGGCAGTAAGACACGGCGCGGGTCCGAGAGACAGCGGCATTTTGTCCATGCAACATCAGCAGCGTTTGCCATCGTTTGCCTTGGAGGTGGCGAGCTGTTCCTCGTGTTTGAATACATCGAGGGCAGCTTGCACCACTGCATAGTGCCTTGGAATGTCAGTAGTCATGGTTTCCGTTAAGATCAGAAACACTTTGTGTGCCTTAGGCCGCGGCTCGCCGCGTCGAGGAAGCCCAGGCTGGAAGAATTGGGGCGAAATGAGACTGTGTGTCACATCCTTCGTCGATGTTGCGTTAAAGGGATGCAAGGAGTTGTTCACCGAAATGGGTCTCTGTAGCCTTTAGGGTTTCAGGATAGAATCAGGATTCGGTCAGCTGTGTCCTCTTCCGGGTATTCGTGGATCATGTTGTGCTTTCAGATGCAGTAAATGTGCGACGCAATGTGCAGACTCACGTGGAGGTCCGCTGGGCAGCAAGACGCCTTCTGATGGCTTTGGCGGCAGTGTCTTCCCCTGATCAGATTTGAGCAAGCATCTAAATGGTAGCCTCTTGTGGCAGTACTGCAAGAGGAAATGAGAAATCTCAAAGTGATACCCCTTCCCTTTTTTCCGCCCCAGAGCCTTTGAATTCCGCCCGCTCATTTGGCTTGCATTTCTGAGTACGCCCTCCTGAAAGCCCAAACAGCACAGGTTCATGCAGCCGGCTTGGTTCACTGCGATGTCAAGTTGACCGCTCAGCAGCAGCAGCAGTTTACAAGCCTCTCTGTCCTTGGACTAGAAGATAGAGTTGGATGTGCATGTGATGTGTAACTGAGAGACACAGATGTCAAGCTGGTCAGGCAAAGGTAAGGTCAATGTTGATAGTCGTACACTCTTTTCATCGCTCACCCTGTCCTTGGTATTTTAAGCTGTTTTGCTGGTAGGTGCTCCGTAGGTTGGTGCTTGCAAGGCCCGAGAACATCCTCGTCGGTGGCAGTGAAGGTGGTAGCCGGGGAGCACTTCCCCGAGATTCGATCTCGGTTGAATGCTTCAAGATAGATTGCATGAGTCTCACCTTGGCGGCATGCTGGCACATGTTGGCACATATGGCACACTGAGTGGTGACCCCTCTGCTTGCTTCCCATCCATTGCCATCCTGTAGCATGGCTCAGGCGCCGACTATGAAGCTCTGTGACTTCGGACAATCTGGGCCACCAGGGGACTCTTCGTGGCATTCAGCACTTTTGCTAACAGCTTTTGTGCAGAAGGGTGCTCACAGCGTGACAAGAAGCATGTCAAATAATTGAGTTCCTCCAGAAACCAGGGGTCCCCTTTATGAGGTTCCTATAACGAAGATCTTCGTATTTTGCGAGAACCCGCTTTTGAGAAACTCCCATGTGCCTGATGCCACGTTTGCCGCATGTTGCCACAGTTTTCAAGCGGCGTTATGCTAGCAAATGGGTTGTTCTTGAGGAGATTGCGACATACGTCGGGCCGGGAGCTCAATCGTGGCAAAGAGTGGCCAAGTGGCTTGCTGCACAGACTGCAGAGGGCGTCGCAGTTCAGCCTGCATCGCTTTTTTCATTCTGTCTAGTTGCTGGTAATTTGCGTAACGAGCATGGGTTTAAGAGCAACCCTTCAAACTCTCCGACAAGAAGATAAAAACTATCAACTGGAAACCATGTTTTGTTTCGCAGCCTAATGCCCTGCTTTGCAAATTCAATTACAAATCCTTTGATATGTGTGTAGACTTGAACTCCCTCCCTCTGCAGCAAAGCTTCCACAACAGTCAGGGCGCTAGACCTCAAGTTGTAGGCTTGGCCTGAAGAATCTCAAAGCAAGCCGGGAAGCATACACTGCAATCCAACGGCCTTTGCGCCTGTTAGCGGAAGATTTTCAGGACTCGGTGGTACCGGGCACCAGAGCTTTTTCTTGGCTCGCGTGGTGACTCCAGCGCAGAGAGCCAAGTGATCGGATCCGAAAGCCTTCAGCTTTCAGAGCGCAACTCCAGCAACGCTGCATCGCGGGGCTGTGGCATGAACGCCTAGACGATGCTCGCTCTCTCTCTCTCTCTCTCTCTCTCTCCGTCCCTTCCTCTCCTCTTCTGACATTAGAGCAGGTTTTTAGGAAGAGCATGTTTGGGCCCCAGGTCGATCTATGGTCTGCCGGATGCACCATTGCAGAGTTGATCTTGAGGAGGCCAAGACTCTTCCGGGTGGCAAGGTGCATTCAGCTCTTGCAAAGCCATCGGCAGGCCCTGGGTCCCTGGTTCAGACACCCGTGCCCGGAGCTGAGAGGTGCTTGAGAGTTGGAGACAGGTTCTGTAATCTCCGTGAAAGATTGGACAAGTACAGTTGGCATAACGCAGGACATGCTCTTTCGAATATGTGGCGTTTGCGTCTCAGCCTGGCCGGCATGCAGAAGTTCAGATGAAGAAGTCTCGTAGTTTGTGCAAGCAAAGATTAAAGATGCCTTGCTTTACTGTGGGCCGCGCGGGAAAGCAAGGCAAGACTTTAAGGTTGTTCGATTCCGGTGGGCGGGATAGGGTAGAGGGTTTGAGGTGAGGGATATGAGGGCAACAACAACACGACTCTTCCTTGCATCGGCAGTGTATGGATAGATTTGGTTCACAATCTTTTCCGTGCTGAGTCCGGTTTTCCGAAAATCCCATAAGGAAAATTGAGCTAGCGATTTCTTTCACAACGCAGACTCAGATTCTCGATTTGGCTAGGGCTTGCAGGCCTTCAGGAAGGTAGACAATCTGAGGAGCAAGTTCTTCGCCTTTTGACCAGTGCCGCAAAGCAAGCATAGTCAAGAACTTGTTGGGATGAGGGTCTAAATCTCTCAGCACGCGTCGCCGCTGTACACTCTTGTCGAGATGATTCAAAGGGAAGGCGTAATGAATGCTCTGCATCAAGAGTGCATGTTTTTCGATTTCGAGGGAGAGGTTCCGGAACGCATGCCAGCCCTGTCAGCCTGCGAGCATCATGCTTTCAGGTGGTGCATGCCTCTGGTAGGTTTAGCAGGCGGCCGTCGAAGTGCACTTGAATAGTCCTTGTCTGCTCAGCAATGTTGGGGCAGTGTCGTGTGGTATGGCTTTGTTCTCCTACAATTTTCTGCACTTTGGGCTTCAGAGTCTGTATGTGTTGCCATGCCAAACATCCTTGCATTTTGGTATCTATTAATGCAGCAAATCAACATCAAACCGAGGAATGATGAAATTGCGAATAACGCGAAGATATTTGACAGTCGCAAAGTGCTTCTTCGAAGCAAAGCATGCGCAGAAGCCTAGCTCATGCAAGGATGTTGTGCCTTCGTACACAGTGCTGAAATGATCTGAGATGCATATTGCCGATCTCTGACCCAGTCACCTTGTTTTTCTATTCTCACGTTGGCAACTTACCAGCTCATGAATCTTCGCTGCCCTCCTGTCTGTTGAAAGTTGATTTGAGGAGCTTGGTGCCCCAGATGATAGCGAAGGGTGGTCCGGGCCTCTGGCTTGGGAGAAATCGAACACCGGCAATCCCTTTGCTTTGGCTTGGCTGCTTTTGCCTTTGCCTTATAAGGCCGCTGGCAGCGCAGCTTGTGGAGGCCCGGAATCCCTTGCTTTGCAGCTTTTTTTGTAGCTTTTCTGTTCAGTGCGGCTGAAGGCCTCGGGTCGCAAGAATGCGGAGCCCGCAGCCTGGCAGAGCCTCCTGGAGGCTGGCGCCTCACAGGCGCCCCGTCGTCTTTCATCAGGGCTGGAGAGACGCTGTGAACAACCGTAGGGCACGTGGAGGTGACATTAGACTTTTGCAGGCATAAAACTGACAAACTGACTAGACCAAGAGCATCCGAGCACCATTGATGCCGACGTTGTGTCCGCAGGCCGCTGTGGACCTTCTGGAAGGCCTCCTCCGCTATGACGGGCAGCGGCGGCTACGTCACTTGGCAAGTGACTTTGAACGGTGCGCGATGGTGCATGCTTACGTTCTGCAACGTGAAGGCTGCGACCGTGCTCTGCGGGAGATGGCTTTTTTCGCTTCCGAAGAGCCCGAGGCGAAGCCTTTCTGACGCTGCAGCTGGCTAGTTACGACTGGTGTGACTGTCCAAGATTGTGCGTGATTGGAAGGTACCCGTGCCCGTGCCAGTGTCCCGACCACTAAGCCCAGCAACGCTGCAGCGTTCCAGAGAAGAGGCCAGAGAAGCATGCAGACGAAGCAGATCAGGAACTGAAAGCGAGTGCGAGCTGAGCTTCATGAAACAGAGGTTTGAGCTGGCATTGAATTCTCAAGGTGCGGGTGTGTCAAAGCATGGAGAGCCGAAGCAGAAAGGTTTAAGCAAAGCCTCAGCTCGGGGGATCTCGGGGAACTGGTGGGATATGGGCCTTTCAGTGAACCTGTCAAGCCAACCATGGAAGCTTTCATTGCTGCCTTGAGCTGCGCCGCGATGGGTGGTGCCGCTCCTTGGCAAGCAAGACCTGAGCCCGTTGAGGCTGAAAGCAGCCCATTTAACTTTCTCGAACTCAGGTCTATGCTGACTTCAAGTACGTGTGCCCTGGACAGTCAACGAAAGATTACAGGCCGCATTGTTTCACGGTTTACCGTCGGTTGTCATCCCACTTGCATGTAAGGAATTTCGGCTACATGGCAAAGAGCCCTCTTGGTGCCTTGAATTCTTGAATGGGAACAGTATGAATCTGATAACCTCACCATTTGCTGTTATCAGAGGCTGTGCAAAGGGCATATTCATTCAGGAGACTATACCATCTTGCAGTATGGTCCAGGACGATTCTCGTACCTCACAACACAAGCCAGCCTGCTTCTGCTCCTTTGGAACTCTCTGTGCTTGGCGTGTGTCCAAGCTTCACTGTCTTGTTGCCAAGTCTAAAACATAGAAAATATGTGTTCTGACCCAGGTTGAACTCCTCTTGAGAAATGGGAAGAGCATCTTCTGGCCCCTCGTCATGTATGCAGTTGTGAATATGTTAAGATGGGAAGCGTACTGTTGTTGCTGGCATGCAAGAGGTTGACGTGGATCTGCTACTACAGCAAACCCTTCTTCGGAGGCCTTGGTTTTTTCATATCAGCGGTGCCGTGGCAGCGACTGTCGTAACTGGAGTGCGTGTCAGATGGCATGAGTGCGAACACTTCTGGTAAGGCATACGGCGTCATGGTTCATTGTGATGACGTACAGCCGGCATGTGATTAAAAAAAAAGGCTGGCGTTGCAAACTTTCTGTTGCTACTGCAAACTGCTGTCTGCTAAGTGTCTGCAGGTCAGTGAGCACTTCATCCGCAAAGCTGTGCGGGATGGAAGGCTCAGGCGTCTTGCCTGCCAGTGCACTTGTACAGAACCAGCCAGGCGTGAGGCATCAGGCCCGGGAAGTGTTCCACTTGTTCCGCAATAGTGACTGCAAGTCCCCCATCCCAGCTACGAGCCCTCAGAAGCCGCACCGCGGAATGTACAGTTCGCAGAATCCAGCCCAGGCTGCAGCTATCCCAAAGAGTTCCAACAGAGGAGGAGTGGTGGCAAGCGACTTGGCCCAAGAGCGGTGATCGCGCCGCAACACCGAAAGCCAGTTGCAATCAGGACCAAATCATAGCACACGCTCCGCAGGCCCAACTCCTTCCACTCAGCTCTAGGAGGACATGCGGTCACATGTCTAGACAGCATCCCTGCCGCAGTTGGTGACGTCTCTCCTTAGCGCCGTGAAGCTGGGACAGAACCTGCAGTATGCGCAAGTTATCATGGTGCGCTGTGGCCAGGAAACCTTGCAGAGGTGATTTTGCAGGGGGTGCTGGTTGAATATTAGCAAGCTTCTGTTGCTCCGCTTGAAGCTCAAGGAGTGGTGATGCGGTGATGCTCAAGCGCTGTTTGCCAAGGTGGCGGTCATTGTGTCATTGTCTTGGGGTTTGAAGGTTTGGTCCGCCCACCAGACTCAGTTTTGTACCAGGTCTCCTTGGTATGTCGTCATACAAGGATTATTTTTTGGAACGTGGCACCCTGGCCGGATGTCGATTGTGAATGTTTGGAGCATGTCCCCTGAAGCCTGAACTTGGCTGATTCCAGTGGGATGTCTCACAGGTACGTGGCTTGTGTCCTTTGGGTGTGGCACCATTCAAAGCTGTGGCCATATCCCTTTATGCTTCTTGGCTCCTACCCAGCGATCAGAAGCTATTGCCATGCTTTCGGCTTGAGAATCTGACTTCCTCTCATGGGTGAAGCTAACCTTATTGGGATGCCCATTGCAGCGCAGCGTCACGTACACTTGCTTGCAGAGGAGGAGGTTGCGAGGTGCATGATTTTCACAGAGTGGTTCTGTGACATGACTCTCAAGATTTGCAATAAACTCGTGTTAGGTATTCCTTCAGACATTGGAGCCACCACGTTGGCTTCTACATCGCCGCCTTCGGGACAAGCTCACTTTTTGGAGTTCTGACGCTTGAGCAGCACCGTTTCTAATTTGCCTCCAGCAGCTTAGGGAAGCGACATTTGAATAGGTTTTACTACGAGTTGATGCAATGTTTTATGCCATGGCAAGGCACTGGGCTTTGCTGTGGTGGCACATTTCGCAGTGAGTCGCTGCTTAAAAAGTTGCGATCGTGTTGCAGTTGCAAACTTCACAGCTCAGCACATGTGCCAATGGACAACCACTCAGTCACTAGGCGCAAGCTGTCGAGCGGCGGCTCTTCGAGAAGCGTGGTCCCCTGCCACCTCCCCCTCCGCCAGAGGGCTCAGAGAACACATGGTCACTCGTAAGACTTGCAAACAGGGTGCTTGTCCCATTACACATTTTCCTTGCTGCGATATTTTTTTTGCACGATGAGGGTGATCCCTGCAACGTAGAAGTGACATGAATGTCAAAGACGTGGCAAACAGACAGCTGCAGAGAGGTGAGTAACATGAATTGGCATCCGCAGGTCACATCTTTGGAGGGCTTCTGTTGGCCAAGCTACCAAACTCGTGTAATGCAGGATCCAGGCTTGGGAGTCTTGTCATGGTGAGTAATCATGTTTTGTACTGTGGCCGGGACGCCCCTCGTGACTTTGCATACCACCAGTACTGCCAAATGCCCGTGGAGCAAATGCTGCCTTTTTGAAGCTAAGATCGGCACCTCGTGGAACTTCACCGTCACCCTCGCCTTTTCCGCCTTTGCCCGGGCAGCAGGCAGCTACTCCCTGCTGCAAGATCAATAAAGCCGTCTGGAATGCAGCGTCTTTGGATTCTACTGCTCGTAATCGGTGGCAGCCATTGCAGATCATCAGCAAGTCATTGATGATACAGCTACACAGCTGTCAATGGTAATTACACAATCGACTCACTATAAAAAGCCAGCAATACAGACATTCCTTCCTTGAGATGTCCTGCCTTTTTGGCGGTGCGCAATGTGAGAGCGAGGCCTTCGCTGTGATGTCTGACACAAGAGGTAGGTTAGGCTGTTCTCACATGATGGTTCCGCATCGAATCTATTCGGCTCACTGAGCCCGATAGTGAGCGTCCGCAGCCAGCCTGGACATTCGTCCATGCTGGCCTGAAATTATTACAGGGCTAGGGAGAGAGTCGGGTTCTGCTAAGGTTTTGCCTTTGCCTTTTTCAGGCTTGAGTCAAGATGATGAACATGTAAAAGCTTGTGGCTTCCCCATGGCAGGAAGCAGTTTTAAAGCTGCCAGATGGCAAGGAGCACCGCATTAAGGTGCTCTGGCTCAGAGCTGTGATTGATGACTGTCCGACTGACAATTCCCAGTCACTTGAGGTGCTGCGGCCCACTCTCGGCGAAGAGCTTTTCCTGGACATGCAACATGTCTGCGACAGCTATACGATCTTTCAGAGTTGACCACCGAAGAGTTGGGAATGTGCCAGTACTGTGCCAGTATATCTAGTAGTTGCCGCTTGTAGGACATTCGGGACCTGCACCGGCCTGGAGCCAAGATATCTTGACAGTTGACCTTGCGCTGCCTCGCCAAGAACTTGTGCTGCTGTGCCTTGAAGCTGTGCAGGTCAACAGGCTTCTTCGTGTACGATCCAGGTTTCACATGTACGGGCTCCTGCATGTCGGCCATCACCTTCATTGATGGTCCAAAGGCGCTGGCTAGTTCCGCTAGATCTCGTCAAGTTCTCCTCTTGCACACTAACCGTGTGTTTGTATTTGTGTCTTCTTGGAAGTGTCACATGTCAGGGAGTCTGCCTCTACCGTGGGTATCCAGTGCCGGACTGGCTGACAGAAACGGTTCAGCCAAGTGTCACCTACAGCATCTTGAAGCTCTTGTGTTCACATCCGCGCAGGATCTGGTTGACTCTGCGCACGCACTGGAGGCTCAGTGGAAATTGTGAAGGTTGAAGTGTGGCTTCTTGTCCTAGTGATTGCATAGGTAGCATATCTGCTTTTGGTCGGCGAGAAACCTGATGCAGAACAGTACCTGCAATTTCAAAGGGAGATCAAGAAGCACATGATGCTTGGCAAGCAGATATTTCGCCATGTGAGCGACGCGAGTGCATGACTACAGCCTGGCGACAACATCAGCTCAGGCTGGTGCATGAAAAGGTTAAGGCGATGTTCGCAAACTTCACCATTAATGCTCACCCGATGGCCATCATGGTGCCTTGCCTGCCTTCGTTGCGAAGAACGGCAATGTGAAGGAATATTGCTCTGAAGCGTGTGTTTCGAACACGGAACTGTCTGCTCCTTTTAAACCCACATTCATCATGTTGCTCGAACGAACAGAGAAGATACCTTGCATATTCTTGGTTGACCCAGGATCCCCTCAGCAAGAGAACTGACAGTTTTGCGGCCTCGGCTGAGACAGAGTCAGGTCGCTGTAATTGGCGCGCTCAGCTCTGTCTTCAGTGAGCTGGATCCGTCGAACGAGTTGTAGCCTGACGGCATCTGGCGGCATCTGCTCCACTGGTGTCCGAGAGCCTGTAAGAGTGAGGCACCGCTGGCTGGCCTGCACACGTTTGATTGCCAAAGTGCCGGCTGCATTCTTAGAGGTCAAGCTGGGCAGAGCTCCCTTGATCAACGTGTGCCGAGTCTCGCGCTGTGAGGTTCTCGCATGCATGGCCTACAAAACATCCATCGGCCATGTGGCTGTTGTGAGTTAGGTCTGCTGCACGTGGCATTTGTGGGTTGAAAATCGAGCTTCCTAGCCAACCAAGGTCAACCCTTCATGTATCCCAGGGCAGACTTATCCTTCGCAGAGAACTTCCTGCTACCTGGCTGGGGCAGGTCTGACAGGGCAGCTCAACATGGAGCACATATCACAGCTGCTCATCTGAGGTACATGATGTTTGCCACCCCCATGGAGGAATATCAGGTAAACCCAGTCTGCGCAAAGGCAATCAATGCCTTCATGATCCTTCACATGGACCATGCCGCTTATAGCAAAAGAGCCGTATCACAATCACATCAACGGCGATTCGTTCAGCTGAAATCAAGTCTTGTGGCAGTTGCCTAAGGAGCAGAATGCGTCCACCTCCACCGTTCGCATCGCGGGCAGTTCGCAGGCAACGCTGCGTACGTTTGCTGCTCAGACCACCAATCGTTCAAGGCATTTGCTGGGTCTGAGGGTTGAATCCTTGGGCATTAAGATTAGCAACAGCCCTATACTGCGCTGCTACAAAAGCTCGACTAGCGGAGCAGTGTTTCAAGGACCCAGCAAGTCAAATCTTTTGCTCTGGACGACAGGCCAACCCTTACGCCTGCATTGCTGCAGGCTGGAGAGCCAGACAATTGCAGGACAAGCATAGCGAAAACAGACGCTCGGAAGCTGCTTTGAGGTGTTGCTTCGCTTTGGGGCCCGGCCCACGGCGGCGCCAACGAGGCGGTTGCCTGGCCAAATCCAGTGGGGCAGAATTATGGGGAAGACCTAGACCTGCCCGTGTGTCCACAAAGCAAGGTCATCAACATGTTGGAGCAGATCGGCAGCGAAGACAAAGTAGCTGAATTCGTGGCTGGTGTGAAGGCCAAGAAGGCCCGGGTACGGCTGCAAAGAAGAAGTGCTCAAAGTGCATCGGCAGTGCTTGCAAGCTTTTTTCATTTGTTTGTTTTCCTCGTTTTCAGGAGGGTGTACGCCTCATGGGCTTCGGCCATCGTGTCTACAAGAATTATGCTCCTCGGCACAAGAGGCGGGCATGTGTCGAGGGTAGTTGTGTATTTTCATCTAAGGATCCCAGAGCCCGGGTTATGAAGACTTTGGTGGCAGAGGCTTGGAGAGTGCAAGTGCAGGGTATTTAGGCATTGCGGAGAGGGTTATGTTTGCTGCCCCTCTCCTGTACTATGCATGAGAGCATCGGGTCCAGCTTTAGTTGCATTCCTGGATCCTCTTTTTCGGCAGTTTCGCAGTTTCATAACTCCCAAGCATGTAGAGCTTTCGGTGTTTGTCGTGCTGGTGCTTCGGCTTGGAGCCGAGGGGGAAACAATTGTGTGATCAATGATGCTGGGTGCTTGCTTTTCTTCTGTGTGGGGCCCGCGCAAAAGCAAAAGTTCGGCAACCCACTGCATCATCCAAGAGGAGAAACAAGCGTCCAGTGTCTATCCTGCTGGGGGGCGGTGCCGCTGCTCCATGTTCACAACGCTTAGCTGCAGCTAGCCACTAGCTGAAGTTAATCTGGAATGATTGTCGTCAATTCTAACTCTCAATAGTTTCTGCGGCATTTCTTTTCCCACCCCCGCGCCCCCCCCTTCTGTTTTCAATTCTCAAATAGTTTCTGTGGCTTGGCAGTTCTTTTCTCACCCCGCGAACCACCCCTCTCCCCAAACACAAACAATTTCTTGTGTCAACAGAACGATGCCCAAATGTACATGTGTTTATATAAGTGATTTCAAGAAGGAACCAAACGAGGCAGAAAACGCAACCGTGGTATTTATAAGTCCCCAAAAATGGAGACCCAAAAATAGACTCTTTTCAGAATCCATTCTATAAAGCACTCAGGCTGCATACCTTGTCTGGCACAGCGTAAGCCCCCCGAGATTGAGAGCTGACCAGGCATGGATATAGGAAACTTTGTCGGTGGGATTTGCAAACGCAGCGAAGCTGGAAAAAATAGAGGACAGACGTCCTGACAGCTATCTCATCCGCTTATGGACTCGCCTTGGCTTCCACGTTAGGTACTCAAGGAGCTGGGTGTGGAGGATCCGCTGCTAGGCAGGACCTGCCAGCCTTGCATGTTTGCAGCCCACACTCTGCAGGCATCGCCCAGGAGTTGGAGAAGGTGGGTTAAGAGCAGTGGATGGTCATTTGCATGTTGCGCAGACGTGAGCTTTCAAATGGGCTGAGTTTGCTTCCGCCGATTTCCACCAACCTCTTTTCAATAGATAAATGCTATGTCTTGAGGAGGGAATTAAGCAATCAGCCTGGTGGTTTGCGCAGCATTGCGCAGCATGCGGCAGTTGCAAGCCATCAAGCTAGGTGGCATTGAGTGACAGTTATTTCATCGATCGCAAGCTCTACCCCAACGTCGACTACTACTCGGGAATCATGCTGCGAGCCATCGGCATCCCCACCAGTATGTTCACAGTGACATGGCAAACTGATGGCCATGCTCTGGCACAGACAAGCAGAGCCACCTTGTCAATGTGCTAAGGTGATGTTTGCTATGTCCAGAACTGTCGGCTGGGTTTCCCAGTGGAATGAAATGGCCTGTGCCTCAGCCTTGCTGGATCTGGCGAGCGGAGGCGAGCGGAGGTCTTCTGCTTCCAGCTTTAAGGTTTCGGAGAAGCAGATGCGCATTGGCCGTCCAAGGTGCTGGAGTAGGTGGGCTAAAGGTTGAACGCATAGAACCTCGAAGCCCGGAGGCAGCTTTATGTGGGCCCGGGTGAGCGGAAAGAACCTTGGAAGGTGGCGCAAGGGCAGGAGCTATCATGCCCACTCTGATCAGATGATCAGCTGAGGCAGTGTGCAATGTGCCCTCCAGGAGCTTGGCGACGCCAGCAAGGAGGTCACGATGAGCTCCTCCCAGGGCCCGATCCAATTCAAGCCTCGGACGCCAGGCAGCAGGAAAGCCAGAACAGGCGAAAGGCAAGCGAAAGGCAAGCTATGCAAGCTCACATGTTCTAAACACCTGGCCTCTCCTGGCACAGCCAAGGAAGTCTTCCTCATTCAGGACTGCCGGAGTGGCCTTTCTTGCGGTTGCAGACGTTGCAGAAGCTCAGACTGCGGCCAGGATGGAGCTCCCTGACGTCCCGACGCGGTGACGGTCAATCAGTCAATCAGTCCTGCTCATCAACGACTTTGCTGAAGCCTGATGGCATCACGCGTGCATGAATTCCAAGCATACCCTGCTTGTTCCATCCAGCAAGTCATCCTGCCCGTTTTCCTCGGTGAATTGAGCCGTACGTCTCTCTGGGCAGTGATGCCAAGCTTCAAGTTCCATTCGGCCAGGCATCAAGTTGAGCCTGCACGAAGTCCTGGTGGCATGCACCTCTTCTCAGCAGTTTGATTGGTCCGGGCAGCTATTGAACCGTTTGACGTTCATTTGCGGAGCGGTGAGTCCAGCACTGCTGCGGAGTCTATGTGTGGCTGCAGAAAAATGTGTCACCAACACTGCACACTTCATCTGTTAACAGGACAACAAACATAGGAAACCTCTGGAACCTCAAGCTCCCTGAAAATCCCTCCGCAGGCGTTCAAGCAGCCAGAAGGTGCTGGGCTTGGCAATTTCTGCTTGCAGCAAACGATGCAAAAGTCACCAAAGCATTGGGACCTGGATTTGATCAAGCTGGCAGAATCTGTCGCAAAGCTTGTCCTCGTCATGGACGGTGTTGTAGCAAGTACTCGCAGCAGTGCCGCAGATGCAGATGCGGAAGCGATACAAGATGGGATCATGATGCTAGATAGCCTGAACAGCCTGTCGAAGAGACGTGCGAAAGCTCCGAAACTGCTGGGCCTTTTGCTAGAGTGGATTGGCTGCCCCTCAAAATTTTCATCCAAGCTGGTCAGGTGTTTTCGCAGCAACCTCCCCTGCATGGAGCTGAGACTGCTGTGAAGGTCCTGTTACATCCCACTTTAAGCGCCTCCGGCTCAGGCCGCCGACCCCAGAGGCGATCAGGCTCTCCCATGTAAGATTAGACGGAATGCAGACAGGAAGCAGTTCCATGCCGGCGCAGCTGATATTTCAGCAGCGGCATGCAACCATGCAGTAGCAGGTTGGTTGGGTAGGGTCACTGCATTTTAACAGTACGGCATTTGCACAACACAGCCATGAGCTGTTCAAGTGTTGCGAAGTCTGATGTTCTTCTTGCTTGGGGCCATGGTGCTGACGTTGGTTCTGGATGGTCCTGGATGACCCTGCCATGACAGTCGAGGCAAGGACTCCGCTTGACAGCTTGGGCATTGATTCTGCTGACGACTTCGCTGTGGAGCAAAACGTGTGCGATGGCGTTTCTGATGCTGCGGTGGTTCGTAGTGTGACTGCTGCTTGGCATGTGACTAAAATGCTGGCTGATACAAAGCTCGATGAGAAGCCGCTGATAGCACCACCCTCAAAGAAACGGCGCCCGACGCTGAGCATCATTGCTACGCGCCCCAAAGCCAGAACTGTGCCCCCCGCGTGCTTGCTTCAGAAACCGCTTTGCGCTATATGCACTATGTACAAGAGCACTGATCCGGGCAAGCCACCACCAAGTGATGACACGCAGCACTTGCTGGACAAGCTGTTCCCAGTAGCATCGGCGACGGGTTCGTCAAACGTGGATCTTGGCGCCCAGTTTATAGCGGATCATAGCAGATCCAATCCGGATCAGCCCACTTGTCGAATGTGCGCTGCAAACGGTCAGCACGGAGCAGCTACACTCGCGCAGGCGCCCTTTGCGTTACTAATAGGGTGCTGGTACCATGAC